TGAATGCTTCATCTTAGCATCATTGTGACGTCACTGATGATGATTAGTCTTAGGGGTGAGAGTTGAGTTCGTGAATTATATTCGGGATCATTGGAACTGTTGTGTGAGGCAGACGGTGAGGCTTCTGCGCCTCACACCTCTTGTTGTTGGGGGGGGGGGGGACAGGCAGCCTGTGTACCTATACTCGTTGGGCTGATATCTAGGTCCCCCCCCCCCACCACACCCCAAGGGGGGGGGGGAACTATTGGCTCTTCCCAGGATGGAGCCCCACGACAGTTGACTAATTACCGGGTACCTAATTACTGTCAGGTGAACAGAGGGATTAGGTGAAAAGAAAGGTACAGAAATCATTTCTGTCATATACTCTGTCTAATTTGTTGGGTCAACTTTTGTCAGGTTTCCCATTGGACTTGTGGGGGTGGACGGTAGAGCGACGGTCTGGTGTCATGCAGGTCGGCGTTCAATCCCCGACCGTCCACAAGTGGTTGGACACCATTCCTTCCCGCCGTCCCATCCCAAATCCATGTGTGGACGCCAAGAATGTGAGTGTGTCTCCTCACACACACTCACACAGTGTGAGTGTGTGTGTGTGAGTGTCTCCTAGGAGTCCCTCAGGCTTCTTTCCAAGGCTAGGAGTCTAAAACATTTACGTGTCTTCCAACGAAACCTTTACATCTTCCCTTCATTATTGCGGGTTAGTGTGCATGTGTTGAACAGTTGAGGAGGTCCAGAGCCGTAGTGAGGAGGGACGAGAGGTTATGGATTGGTGAGTTATTAGTTGTGGAGGTCTTAACAACCCTCCCGAGGTGATTAGACCTCAAGGTCGTTACCACAGCAAACTGTGGACACTTTACCAGCGGCTGTCTCACAGCCACCACAGTTTACTTAACCACGGGAGGAGATTCACACACTAAGACTTAAGATTTTGCTTGAAAAATGTCGTTTTCTTCAGCAAATGGATCCAGGGCGCCTGACAGCTGGGTGGACAGCGCTTCGGATTCGAAGTTCTGAGGTTCCGGGTTCGATCCCCGGTGGAGGCGGAGACAAATGGGCAAAACGTTTCTTTCACCCTGATGCCCCTGTTTCCTAGCAGTAAATAGGTACCTGGGAGTTAGTCAGCTGCTACGGGCTGCTTCCTGGGGGTGGAGGCCTGGTCGAGGACCGGGCCGCGGGGACACTAAGCCCCGAAATCATCTCAAGATAACCTCAAGAAGATAACCCCACAGACCCCCCCACACACACTCACCCCACACACACACCCACCCCCACACACCCACCCCACACACACACCCACCCCACACACACACCCACCCCCACACACCCACCCCACACACACACCCACCCCACACACCCACCCCACACACACACCCACCCACACTCACCCCACAGACCCCCACCCCCCCACACCCCCCCACAACTTGTACACCATCAACAAAGATAATCAACTTTATCGTTGACTGAGGTCAAATTTCAGCAGGTAAACACGTCTCAGAAGAGATGTGGTCAAGCAGGTCACACTTGGCCGGGCTGAAGATCCTGGCCGAGCCCCTGGCCGAGCCTGCCGGCCACCTCCAAGAACTGACCCACTTCCCGCCACCCCCAACAGGTCCTGGACCACAGGTCAAGCGTACTGGGTCAGGTCACCCCCAGTCATCCTTCTCTCCAATACACGAATTGTTGTTAGCGAGTAGCTATTGTAAGTGATACTTATCATAGAGATTCATGAGGAAAGATGACCTCATGATGAGTGAGAGGATTTATAGGAGGCTACAGGTGATGAGGAACATGAGGTGAGTCATGAGGTAATCCCAACTCATCCTGTTTTACCTCAGCCAAGCCTCCCTCTCTCTCTCTCTCTCTCTCTCTCTCTCTCTCTCTCTCTCTCTCTCTCTCTCTCTCTCTCTCTCTCTCTCTCTCTCTCTCTCTCTCTCTCTCTCTCTCTCTCTCTCTCTCTCTCTCTCTCTCTCTCTCTCTCTCTCTCTCTCTCTCTCTCTCTCTCTCTCTCTCTCTCTCTCTCTCTCTCTCTCTCTCTCTCTCTCTCTCTCTCTCCTCTCTCTCTCTCTCTCTCTCTCTCTCTCTCTCTCTCTCTCTCTCTCTCTCTCTCTCTCTCTCTCTCTCTCTCTCTCTCTCTCTCTCTCTCTCTCTCTCTCTCTCTCTCTCTCTCTCTCTCTCTCTCTCTCTCTCTCTCTCTCTCTCTCTCTCTCTCTCTCTCTCTCTCTCTCTCTCTCTCTCTCTCTCTCTCAATTACTTAGAGCGTTTATAAGCTATGAAAGCAGGCGACCATGTTGCAAATGACTATGAGAGGAAGCATGAATGATCGATGATATATTACAGATCAAGATACACTTGGCAACACTGCGGCCAGATAAAACGTCTTGTGTTATAATTGCCGATCTTTGTCCCCAAGTTGTTGACAAGTTGAAAATCTGGAGAAGGTGAACTCCCAGGATCTCTAAGAATGGCGGGTGTACATCTTTAGCAAGTACAGGTTAATGTGATATTATTATTTAGCATTGGGTGTTGTCATATGGTCCATCTGTTGGGTGTAGTGATGCTACATCCAACGCTCAAGGGAGTACTGATTTAGGCTCTTTAGTCGGTCCCAATAGTTTAGATGTTTTACTGAGTGGATTCTAGCAGTAAAGGATCTCTGCACGCTCTCCGGGTCAGCAATTTCTCCAGCTTTGAAAGGGGCTGTCATTGTGCAGCAGTACTCCACTCTAGAGAGCACTAGCGTCTTGAAGAGTATCATCATCGGTATAGCATCTCTAGTGTGAAAAGTTCTTGTTATCCAACTTCTCATTTTTCTTGCAGTTGTGACGGCTACTATATTGTGTTCTTTAAAGGTAAGGTCTTCCGACATGAGTACACCCAGATCCTTTACGTTCTATGTTATGATTTGACTGAGTTTTGTACGTGGTTTCTGTTTTTATATTTTCATTTTTTCCGTAGCGCATGAGCTGGAACTTATCCTCGTTAAACACCATATTATTTTCTGTAGCCCATAGAAAGACCTGATCTACATCTGATTGGAGGTTTGCCGTGTCCTCTATGTTGCCTACCCTCATGAAGATCCTAGTGTCATCTGCAAAGGATGATACAGTGCTATAGGTTGTGTTCTTGTCTATGTCCGATATGAGGATGAGAAAAAGTACTGGAGCAAGCACAGTACCCTGGGGGACTGAGCACTGGAGCAAGCACAGTACCCTGGGGGACTGAGCACTGGAGCAAGCACAGTACCCTGGGGGACTGAGCTCTTCACGGTTGATGGACCGGATACTATTTTGTTGACTATTACACAGTGGGTTTTATTAATCTGGAAATTGTAGATCCATCTGCCTATTTTTCCGGTAATTCCTTTTGAACGCATTTTATGTGCAATAACACCATGGTCACATTTATCAAAAGCTTTTGCGAAATCTGTGTAAATTACATCAGCGTTTTGTTTGTCTTCCATAGCATCTAATGCCATATCATAGTGGTCCAGCAACTGCGACAGGCAAGAGCGACCTGTTCTGAAACCATGTTGTCCGGGGTTATGGAGATGCTGTGATTCCATGTATTTTGTGATCTTACTTCTTAGCACTCTCTCAAAGATTTTTATGATGTGCGATGTTAATGCTATCGGTCTGTTATTTTTTGCCTCTGCCTTATTTCCTCCTGTATGGAGTGGTGCTATCTCTGCTGTTATTTAGTATGCCAGTATCTATTATCTGTCTCCATAGAATGTGAAGGGCCTGCGATAGTGGTTTTTTTTACAGTTCTTGATGAATATAGAGTTCCAAGAATCCGGGCCTGGTGTAGAGTGCATAGGCATACTGTTTATGGCTTCTTCAAAATCTAGTGGGGATAGGGCGACGTCTGATATATGATTTGATGTTGGTATCATATCAATGAAAAATTTATTTGGGTTATCAATCTTCCGTGTGTTTAGTGGCTCGCTGAAAACAGAGTCGTACTGCTTCCTCAGTAACTCGCTCATTTCTTTGTTGTCATCGGTGAAAGTTCCATCTCCCTTTCGCAGGGGCCCGATACTAGAAGTGGTTTTTGATCTTGATTTTGCATACGAGGAAAAAAATGTTTCCTCCTACTGTCCCAATGTGTCCCAATGTGTCCCAATGTGTCCCCTGAGTATTCATGTCCTCGGTAGATGTCCATTTGCCTCTCAGGGGAAAATAGAGTAGGATATATGTGTCATTTCATTTCCATATACGTGTTTGAATTAAATAAAGTTATTAATTGATTTTGTTGTTTAGTTATCTCTGTTCCCCCCCCCCCTTTGCTTAATGCTGTGTTCTTATATTTGTGGTATACTTGCGCTGCTGGAAACCCCTGCCCACCAAACACACACCGAAACTACGACGTTGCTACAACGTTCGAACAAGTTTTAACACCTAACCAGTTATAACAACCAATATAGCAAGTTATAACAACGTTCTAATACGTCATAAACACGTTAAGCCAAGATGTAACAACTTTATTACAAGTTGTAACAAGCGGAAAATAGAGACAGTTTCGGTTTGGGTTCCCAGGGTGAGTTCTCCATTTCATGGATATTATAGTTGCCCTTGGTTCCTCAATTACTAAAGTAACATTTTTATAAATTAATTCCCAAGATTTATTACAGAGGTTCCTAATGCCCTTGAGTTCATGTTTCCTGGTTCCCTTCCTACCTGGGGAGCAGTAATTTAGACACATGCCAATGGTGAGGGAGGTGCTGGCAGTGTTTCAGTAAGTCTTCTTTCATTACTTTAATGAGTTTTTAATTATTAGTTTTATATTAATTACCCCTATTCTCCTTGTGTCCTCCTGATTTAATATTTCTGCTTATACTCGCGGCAGCTCAGTGTGGGTGACATACTGAGCTGTAGCAGTGTTAAGCTGGGGTAGTGAGTGGAGAGTAAGGGTACAGCAACTCCGGTTATTACAATCAGTGTGGAACAGTATGGAACAATCAGTGTGGAACAGTATGGAACAATCAGTGTGGAACAGTATGGAAC